AGTTTAGTACATGTGGATTTGCTGAAGGAGTTTGGCTTGACGTTTGTAATTTCTACTTGGTTTTCTCATCTGGCAATAAAAAATGTGGGCTATATCATGAGGAGTGATTCCTAGCGTTGAGGCAAAGTGGTGCAGGATGGCTCAAATCCACCTGGTTCTTGGTGCGTTGGTGCTAGAGCATACTGACTGCATCCATGCTGGCCAACACTTGATTTGAATCACCGCTGGGCTCCGCCTGTAGGGCTGTAAACCCTTAACTATTACTTTGTGTTTTTCAGTTCCCTGCATCTGAACTAATCAGAGGGCTGTGTTGTAGCTTGCCTGGGTAGCATTTCCATGGAATGATAGTGCAGGTATGTGGTGCATGCCGTGGGGCTTGTCATGAGGGGCGTGAGAGTCTGAGGGCGGATTGAGCTCCACAGCATTACAGCAGTGTGCTGAGTAAAGGCAGCTAAATGCAGTGTGGTTGTACACATTTGGCCTTTAAGGTGAGTCATTGCAATGAGTTTTTCTCAGTGTGCAGCTCAAATTTCATTTTAAAGGTAAGTTAGCAGCAAAAGAGATCTTGCGTGTAAAGTAACGAGTTATGTAGATGATCAGGGGACTGGGGTCTGGGAGTGAACTAAGGAGCTTATTCGTAATCCTCATCTGACACACGAGGAGAGGAAAGCACTTGGCTTCTGAAACTGGGCAGTGGGCCACTGACTTTCAGTAGGGTTCTAAGGCATAGATCTTCCATAATATGAAGCCAGTGAATTATTAGAGTTATGGATAGCTACTTAGGTAACAACTGTTTGGGTTGTGATACAATGTAGACATCGCAGCTGCTCAGTTGTATGGCTTCTGAAGAAGAAGCATTTTGCTATTTCTTTTGTTCTTTTCACATAAGGACTATAGTTTCAGTTTCAGGGATTCCTAGGGATCTTCATATCTGACTTTTGTGGAACCAGAGAATATTGTATCTGGATGCGAGAGAAAAATGGAGTTGCTTCTGTGCTGCAAATTACTGTGACTCCATCCTAGAATTCACTGAATCAAATATTGAGATTCTCATTAGCTTCAGGGGTTTCTGAATGTATGAAATGTTAAATTTTAAAGCTCTTTTTCGTATAGAAAGCCTGTACAATACTGCTTGTCCAAACTAAGAAAGAAGGCATGTAGTAGATGTTCTTTTGACCAATCTTGTCTATGAGATTCATGTCTTTCTGTTAAATTTAGGACAAAATTTTGGTTGAACTAGAATCAATGGGCGTTTTTGATTTATTTCAGTGAAGCCCAGCGTTCATTTTTATTCTCCTGATTTGTGTTAAACTTGAGTAATGTGAACTTTTAAGAGAGAAAACAGTTCCTCAGAAACTCTTACACTGATAGGATTTGTGAAACATAATTTGATACTATTTCCTCCTTCTTTCACTCTTAAAATACCAGGAGATAGCTGTTGTCCTGTGCAGCCTGCTGTAGGCCACTCTGCTTCAGCAGGGGGGTTGGACTAGGTGACCCACAGAGGTCCCTTCCAACCCCGACCATTCTGTTATTCTGTGATTCTGTTGTACATGCCACACTTTTATTACCTGCTCTTCATCAATCAGTTGGTTGTGCTGTGTGTGGAGATGGAATTCCTTTGTAAGGCTGTTTTTCATTAGTATCAAGGTGTTATGGGTTTGTGTGACAAGGTTTTGGTAGTGGGGGGGCTAGAGAGGTGGCTTCTGCTTCTCCCATGTCTGATAAAGCCAGTGCTAGCTGGCTCTAAGATGGATCCACTGCTGGCCAAGGCCAAGCCAATCAGCGATGGTGGTAGTGCCTCTGTGACAACATATTTAAGAAGGGGAACAAAAAACCTGTGGTGAAGCGGCAGTGTAGAGAGAAGAGTGAGACGATATGAGAGAAACAACTGTGCAGACACCAAGGTCAGTGAAGAAAGAGGGGGAAGAGGTGCTCGAGATGCTGGAGCAGAGAGTCTTCCCTTGCAGCTCGTGATGAAGACTGTGGTGAGGCAGGTTGTTTCTCCGTAGCCCATGGAGGTCCATGGTGGAGCAGATATCCACCTGTAGCCCATGGAAGGGACCCCACACCACAGCAGGTGGATGCCTGAAGGAAGCTGTGACCCTGTGGGGAGCCCATGCTGGAGCAGGCTCCTGCCAGGACCTGTGGACCCGTGGAGAGAGGA